TTCAGCTTATTCTCTAAAACCACTGAAACAATTTCAGCCAATTTTAGCATATGGCATCTATGGGTGAAGGGGAAGAAATTTGTAAATTTCATGGTCCCTGTCCCCCTGGTGCCTGAGGGGTTGGGCTAAAACCATCAAAATTAATGCAATCTTTAAAAATCTTCTTCTTTACTCCTGGACATCAAGCAGTCAAACTGTTGGCATGATTGTAATAAGCATTGAGCCCTCTACCAAAATTGTGAAATTCATGGCCCCAGGGTCAGGGGTTCTGGTGCTAGGGCGGGGCTCTAATGATTATACAGTGAAAATGCATTAATTCTTTGAAAATCTTCTCCTCTGCCCCTGGGTATATAGCAAATGAACTAAGTACATAGTTATGATGAGGAAGAGTTCCTCTTCCAAAATTGTGAATTTCATGGCCCCTGGGTCAGGGGTTCTTGTGTAAGGGCAGGGCTCTAATGATTATATAGTGAAAATGCATTAAATCTTTGAAAATCTTCTCCTCTGCTCCTGGGTATTAAGCTGATGAACTAAGTACATAGTTATGATAAGGAAGAGTGCCTCTTCCAAAATTGTGAATTTCATGGCCCCAGGGTCAGGGATTCAAGGGGGGGGGGATGGGAGGGAGGGGGCTTTTTTATTATATACTGAAAATAAATTAATGCTTCGAAAATCTTCTCCTCTGCCCCTTCGTATTGAGCAAACAAACTAAATACATAGTTCTGATGAGACAGGGTGTTTCTTCCAAAATTGTGAATTTCATGGCCCCAGGGTCAGGGTTCTTGTGCTTGGGTGGAACTCTATTGATTAATTAGCAAAAATGCATTAATGCTTTGAAAATCTTCTCCTCTGCCCCTGAGTACTTAAGCAAACAAACTAAATGCAATAATATCAATGTAAATGTATTAAATAAAATTATAAGTAAATGTGCGTTTTCTTTGCTCCTGGGTATCTAGGAGGCAAACAGAGTATACAATTGTAATAAGTGAAGCAAATGAAAGTTACTCCCCTTTGCTAGATGTTGTTAATCAAGAAATCCTTGTGTATAATTTAATTAACAGGTTATTTGATTAAATGAGAATAAAAGAAAGAATGTTATATATATTGAAACAAAATAAAAATGAATGTTTGGTTTAAATGAGAAAAGCATTATCAAATTCAGATTCTTGCCTGGAAAGCAATATAAAAGATTGACATAAAGATTATTCATATATTTAGCAAAAGTTGTAATTGTACATAGTATGTTTACATTGTGGTGTTCTGTTTGATAGTAGATGAGTTATTGTCCACTGGTAGAGTCATAGTTGACAAGAGACTGGACGAAGTTGTTTTATATTTTATCAAAGAGAAAAAAAAAATCACAGAGAGTCAGGGTGACTTATTGTAATTTGTGACAAGTGGCAAATAGCCATGTTGTATATCCAAGTCCAAGTGTAATGAATTGTAGCACTAGGCAAGTGACAAAAACATATCTCTATATATTGAATACCTTACACAATAGGCAAGTGTCCATTGTATTTGTATGTTTTGCATTCATTATCATCCCTGTAAGACTTGGGAAAACCAAGTATGATCCTAAGGAGATCACTCGGATTTAACACGTTACAATAAGCAAGGGTATTTTTACCAGATTTTTGACATTCTTGGGAAACATTGCTTCATCTATAAGTTAATTAGGTCTTCCGTTTTCAACGGAAGACCGATAGTGATTCTACTGTTTCTTATTAAGGTCTTCCGACTTCCTTCAGAAGACTTTATTGTTTTCCGTCTGTTTTCTATTATTAAGGTCTTCCATTTCAGATGGAAGACCTTATAGTAATTCTACTGTTTCTTCTTTTTTTTTTATTAAGGTCTTCACGGAAGACCTTATAGTGATTCTACTGTTTCTTATTATTATTAGGTCTTCCGTTTTCAACGGAAGACCTATAGTGATTCTACTGTTTCTTATTAGGTCTTCCGTTTTCAACGGAAGACCTATAGTGATTCTACTGTTTCTTATTATTATTATTATCATTCTTATTCTTATTTTTTTGACTTTCTAATTTTGTGCATGCGATTTCTCAAAGACTATTGGATGGATTTACATGAAATTTTCAGGAAAGATGTGTCGTAACATGAACTTGATCTATCTGAGAGAAAATTTGGAAATTCACTTCCGGTGCCAAGTTACAGACCATTTTCTGATTTCAAAATGACATTTTGTCCGCTGATAATCTCAAGAATGACAAGAGATATCAATGTCAAACTTTCAGGGATTATAGTTCGTGATAGATACTAGCCGGGTCGCTACTTTTTGTTCGTCATCAGCTCTTCCGGTCGCTTACAGAAGTGATCAAAGAAATTGTAAAATTTCAACTTTCCTTTTTTAAATCACATTATTGCATCTCTTTTGTAGTTTTGAAATATGTTGGTCCCACCAGAAACAAAAACTTCAACTTCTGGTTATAAGATAAAAACTACATAATTTGAGTATTTTTCTTTCCCATTAATATCTTTTGTAGATAAAGTATTTGAAATGAATTTTAAATATGTTATTCAAACTGCAGATGTCTAGAGTAACGTCAAATATCTTTGTTAAATTCACTTCCGGTCACGTGTTTTCCTGTCCTCAAAATTAGTTGAAAGTTGTCTGAGCAAGATCTCGAAAACGGTAAGAGATTAACACACCAAACTTATATGAGCAACAGACCTTAGGATGTAGGCAAATTCATTTGGGTTCAGAGTGTCAGCCGTCACTTCCGGTCGTCAGGAAGTGATAAAAAAAAATGAAAATTTCAACTTTTCTTTTTTTATATAAATTAAAATTGCATAACTTTATTGCATCTTTTTCGCAGATTCAAAAGATGTTGGTCCCATTGGAAACAATACGACAACTTCCGGTTATAAGAGAAAAACTAAATAATTTGAGTATTTTCTTTCCCACAAATATTCTTTATAGAAAAAGTATTTGAAATGAATTTTAAATATGTTATTCAGAGTGCAGATGTCTAAAGTAACCTTAAATATCTTTCAAAAATTCACTTCCAGTCGTGTGTTTTTTTTATGTCCTCAAAATGAAAAATTGTCTGAACAAGTCTCAAAAACAGGTAAAAGATTAAAACACCAGACTTTTATGAGTAATAGACCTTGAAGAGTAGGCGAAACCATTTGGGTTAAACACGTCAGTCGTCACTTCCACTTGTCACAGGAAGTGGCCAAAGAAATCAAAAAAATTAACTTTTCTTTTTTAAATTAAAACTTGCATCACTTTATTGCATTCTTTTGCTGTTTTGAAATATGTTAGATTCCACCGGAAACAAAAACGTCAATTTCCGGTTTTAGAAGATAAACTACGTTATTTTGATATTTAACTTTCTCATAAATATTGCTTATCGATAAAGTACTTGAAATGATTTTATGTATGTTGTAGATACTGCAAATGTCTAGAGAAAAGTCAGAGATTTTTATAAAATTCACTTCCGGTCGCATGTTTACCTGTCCTCAAAATTAGAATTTGTTCTCATAATATTGCTCGGCAACAGTAAGTGACTGAAGTCTAAAAACTATCAGGACTGATACTCAGTCATCAGTTTATTTGAATCGTGAGAAAATCTTGTATTGCCGTTACTTCCGGTCGTGACAGGAAGTGATGCAAAAAAGTGAATGGTTAATGGTAAGCACCTTGGATTTTCACGCTGATGACCAGGGTTAAATCTCAAGAGTGTCTGAATTTCTTTTATCACTTTTTCAGCTTGAATTTTTGTTTTTATTTTCAGAATCGGACAGAAGACCTCTCATTGCTCGCAATGAGTTTCTAGTTTTGTTTTATACCTCTATGGATCCTTTACAGTGTTGTACTATACTCAGGTGACCGTTAAGGCCCTTGGGCCTCTTGTTTGTTTATTTGTTTGTTTGTTTGTTCTGGAATGTTCAGAACACACAAAAAAATTAATATGGTATGGTAATGTCTCCACTCCAAAATTTATTCATTTATGAGATGTATTTATGTTTTTTGCACCTGAAAATAGAATAATATAGAATACATATAATACATGCCAAGGAAAAGATCAGAGACATTCCAAATAAATTAATCATTTGTGTTCACCGTCCATTCACTATTCACTTTTCGCTCGCATTTGCACGCTGTTTGCATTCTGTATTCACTCACCATTCTTGCTGACCATCCTTTCACCAAATAGCCTTCAGCATTCATACAATGTTCACTCAGCATTAGCTCTGCATTCGCTCACCATTTGCTCAGCATTGGCTCACTGTTCAAGTGGGAAAGTACAATGTTTCAGGGACTGTAAGAAAACCTACTCCCTAGCAACAAGTATGAGGCTCAGTTTAGTACTTATCACAATTTCTTATTCCAGTCTGCAAATTAAGGAACTTGTAATTTTTCCTGCACGACTTTCTTCTCCTACCAATTCTAAAAATAACAAGGGCACCACAAAGTAGAGCACCCCCTTGCAAAAGAGCATGTCTATTAATCAAGGCAGCATTGGACATCAATTTCGATGCAAATAAGTGAAATTATGTCACTTCCATTATGCACAAACTAACCAACCACCCACACACACAAACGCATTACTATATCCCCTCCAACTCCATTGCCAGGGGATAATTAGTGGTATGTACACATATTGAAATGCAACCACTGCAAATTTAGACATACTTGGCACTCAGAGCCATTGAGCAGTGAGGGATCTTTTTCTTGCCAGCAACTACTGCAACAGGGGGCCTCAGTTAATATGGTATCATCGATAAAGACCTGTCTCCATCCATCTCTTACTTTGAGGGTAACAGCAAATGCCTAGTTTGCTTTCTGGGTCTGCTTCTGGGTCTGCTTCTGGAATTTGTGTTGACTTTCTGCATTTGCTTTGGGTCCACTTGGGGTGTGCTCTTGACTCACTCTGATGGAATATCAGTGGTATCCTTGCTGATGAGTCTGAAATCTAGTTTCAGTCTAATTAAAGTCATTAACATAAAGATAAATTATTTTATTGCATTTTTTATAGATTTAAATAAAAGAAGAAGTCTGATGAACACAGAGAGTGGTGCAAATATTAATAGCACAACTGTTGCTACTGATTTCCCTGATAATGGGTCCAATACCAGTCTGAGAAGGGACCCCCCATCTACTGCTGCCCAAAGATTCTCTGACTCTGGCAACAGGTCAATTCTGGATAATTTGCAGATGTCTCCTTCTGTGGGAAAGAGTGGTTTTAGTAATCCAAGTTCTCTCATGCACAGTTATACATCACCTCGGAACCATGGAGGAAATTTTTCCATGAAAAGTCAATTTCTCAGTCAGAGTGCGAGATTAAGTCACTCTTACAATTCAGATCACAATGCTCAGTTGATGAGAGGATCTGGACTTAGCCAGAGTGGAAGTTTCAACTATGCACCTGTAAACAGGTTATTTCGTGGAGATAGGATGATCAAAACACCCCCAGGATTTCCTTCAAAGAAAGTTGGTCTTAATCACAGTGCTGGTGGCAATCTCTTTGCCTCCTCTGAATTATATTCTCATCATATTGACTATACGTCATCTGCAGATGCCAGTCCTAAAAAGCCACAGTCTGATGTTGCAAGCTTAAGTGGAAGATGGTAAATTGAGTTAATACACAGCCAACTGAAGCTTTTTTTTATACTAATGGCTGCTACTTTTTAAATGTTGTACACATAATATTATTTGATTGTATTTTAAATGTTAAACAAATTTAATATGCATGTTGTATCCTTTTTGACCACCATGAACTCTCTAAGAAAATCCTCTTAAATATAGTATTGTGGTTATAATGAATACTTTTTTCCAGTGGACAGGATAACCATGCTATAAGCAGCCTAAATTAGTTCCTTTGGTTATGATTCATGTGTAGAAAAGGTTTATGCAGTTGTTCATAATAGCATTTATCTTGTTTATTTGTTTTTCTCTTCACCTGAGCTGGCTGAAAGCTCCAGTGAGCTTTTCTGAATACCCATTGTCTGCCGTCTCTCTGTTTGTCCATCTGTAAACTTTTTAAATTGACTAAAGTAATACTTCTTGAGAAAAATTACTTAATTTCATAATTTTAGTCTGTAGATTTAGTTTATTTTATTTATTTTATATTCAATTTTTGTCAAATTTGTCACAGTATCGGCTCTCATTTGTACTAAAATTAGGGTCGTGTCCCTTAAACAGGGGGAGATAATTAGGAAAATAAAAATAAAAGTACTGGTTGCTAAAAAGTTTTTTTCTCTGGGCAGATTTTATAATCACCAAACTAACAAACAAGGATGCGGATATGTTGTAGATTAAAAATTGATTGCAGATGGATGACTGCACTTAAGGACATGCAAGAATTGCGGCAAAATAAACATTCAAAACACGCATTTTTAGCTCTTCTGAGCCAAAGGCTCAAAGAGCTAATGCTAGGGCCATTTGTGCAGTGTGCGTTAACTTTTTAGAATATGGGCCATAACTCAAGAACCCCTTGGCCAATTTTTGTCAAATTTGTCACAGAGTATCCTTGGGCGAAGGGCTCCCATTTATATTAAAACTATGGATGTGACCCTTAAACAAGGGTAGATAATTAGGAAAATAAAACCAAAAGTACTGGTTGCTAAAAAATCTTCTTCTCAAGAACCACTGGGCAGATTATCACCAAACTTAAACACAAGGATTAGGATTTATTGTTCAAGGCATCACCCTGGGGCAAAGGGTGTGGTCTCAAGGTCACTTCAATATTAACTAAAAATTTTATTTTGTTAAAACTTTGGTATTTTGCTTACTATAAGATCTAGGATCATCATATCTTTTCAGTTGATGCATCTTAAGACCTCATATCATGTTGACTCAAAAGTAGGTCACAGTGACCTACTTTTTGAATCTTGCAGGCATTTATTATCAAATTGATTTAGAGGCATATTTTGGACACTTTAAGGCCTATGATCATCAAATTTTGTCAGTTGATGCATCTTGGGTCCTTGAGGTATGTTAACTAAAAAGTAGGTCACCATTACCTACTTCTTGAATATTATGGTTAATCTTTTTCAAAACATTTAAGGTCATTATTTCAGATACTGAAAGGTTTGGAATCATCAAACTTTGTAAGTTAATGCATCTTGGGGCCTTAAAACATATTTATCAAAAAGTAGGTCACAGTGACCTACTTTTTGAATTTTACAGGCATTTGTTTTCAAACTGTTTTAGAGGCATATCTTGGACACTTCAAGGCCTATGATATCAAACTTTGTCAGTTGATGCATTGTGGGCCCTCAGAGTAGGTTAATTGAAAAGTAGGTCACCATGACCTATTTTTGGATTTTATGATTAAATTTTAATATTTCAGGTACTAATTGGCTTAAAGTCATCAATTTTTGGCAGTTGATGCATCATGGGTCCATGGAGTATGTCAACTGAAAAGTAGGTCACTGTGACCTACTTTTGAAATTTTTTTGTTGTATTTAAATATTTTAGGTACTAATTGGCTAAGAATCATCAAACTTTGTCAATTGATGAGTCCACGAAGTATGTCAACTGAAAAGTAGGTCACCTTGACCTGCTTTTGAAACTTTTTGGTTATATTTAAAAAAATTTCAGGTACTGATTTGCTTAGAATCATCAAACTTTGTCAGTTGATGCATCTTGGGTTCTCGGGAGTGTGTCAACTGAAAAGTAGGTCACCATGACCTACTTTTGAAATTTTATGGCTATATTTTAATATTTTGAGACACTAATTGGGTTTGAGTCATCAAACTTTATTGATGTATTTTGAGTTGTCAGAATGTGTCAACTAAAAAGTAGGTCTCAGTAAGATAAGAAGGGGCTTCGAATCATAAAACTTTGTCAGTTGATGCTTCTTAGGTTCTCAGAGTGTTTTAACCAAAATGTAGGTCATGATGACCTACTTTTGGAATTTCAAGTTTTTTTCTAAATATGCAGGATACTTAGAGGCTTCAAATAGAAGTGATATAAGTCAAAAGTTTGTGAATCGTGTCAATCTTCATTATACTATTTTCAAGAAATTTAAATGTAAAATTATTTAAATTGTTGATGTGTGAACTTTTATTCCATGTGATTTAATAGAAATCCTGTAACTCAACTTTAAAATCAACATGTAACCACAGAGCATACTTTACAACAAATGACCTCAAAAACATAGTGACATGAGTTTTTCAAAAATATTCTCCCTATACATTTCACACAGTCTGACCCAATAGCCACTCATTAAAACCTTTTCTCTATCACTTGAAAATTAAATTGCCCACAGTTGTTCCCAAATAATTTCGTTTGTCTATGTTTAATTTATTTTACCATGTACAGTCAATCCTGTATTAAGCATCACCTGGGGGATCCTTTAAAAATGACCTTTATACAGAGATGAGCTTTGAATAGAGGTTTACCTTTTTCAAGAAAATTCTAGACAAATATGTCGGTTCTGTGTTTTACAGTATTACATCCTAGATTATTAAAGAAAGAATGGTCTCACTTAGATATTTTATAAACTTAAACCCAATATGCATGACTTTGAGGATACTTTTAAGCTAAAGTTAATGGATCCAAGAAGCTAAATTTAATGAAACCAAAGGAAAAAAAAAATTGAGTCTGATAGCTGGGTATTGCACTTATAATTCTCCATCAAAACAATAACAAAATCTTTCTGTTGTAAGGAATGATACTTTTAAGCTAAAGTTAATGGATCCAAGAAGCTAAATTTAATGAAACCAAAGGAAAAAAAAAAATTGAGTCTGATAGCTGGGTATTGCACTTATAATTCTCCATCAAAACAATAACAAAATCTTTCTGTTGTAAGGAATGATTATTTGATGCAATGAATAAAATTAATGTTATTTTACCTAAACTGTAACTAAAACACATTAATTAACATAAAATTAACAACTGTATGTTTAAAAAAATACATAAATTGTTGCATAATAAACATACAAGTCATCCACTCTCAGTTGATCAAAGAATTAAAAAATAAAAAGTAATATCAAAGTCACAGGTTGTCTTTCCTGGTGAAATTCGTGACATAATCAGGCCACAATTTGTACACATTAGGATTTCTACTTCTTAGGTGTGAAAAACTGCCTACCACATGTTTACACAGTCACAAATACTGAAGCTGAGCATGCAAAATAGTGAACTAAGGATTAGGAAACACAAAATTATCATATTCATTAATAGATAAATATATATGCATTGTTCTTGATATCACTCAGAAATTTTAAACTAGATTAAAATTTCATAAGTTAAAGAGCCTCATAGTCATAATAATATTTTTTTCCCGCTAACTTTTTCGGTCATTAATTAGCACCCTTGTTTGTGTTTTGTAAAATACTAGAGGTTAGTTTGTTAAATAGTTTATATGCTTATCCAATCATTTAATTGGTTTTAATTAGACCATTTATTATATTTTTTCATGATCTTGCAATGCTTGATAAATTATTTACATTAATAAAAAAAATTGGAAATCACCTGACTCTAGATCTGGTCACGTGATTGGACAAAATGGCGGCTAAAGGTGAGGGAAAATAGCAATTCTGCATGAAATATGAAGACCACTGACCACATTACGCAGGTGACCACTTAATAGAGTTACATTATATAGGAAATTTCATTGGGAAGAAATAAAATGATGGCATAGGACAGGTGACTGCTAGATAGAGTTGACCGCTATGACAAGTTTGACTATAATTATGCCTTCACAGGTTCAGCTAATATGTTGACGGTGCGACCGTTGGGGCGAGTGCATTGTTCACTTCATTCCTTAAGATCCGCCTCTTCAAACCGCACGAGACATTTGGAACGTCTAGACTGTGACGTCACATGACGTCATATGTTAGCTGCATTTCCATAAACAAAGTTTAAAAAGTGCAGTGATTTTAACAAAGAACGTTTAATCTACTATCTGTATGCAATATCCATTAAATTAAGGTGAGTTTATTTTGTGTGAATTTTTAGTTGTTGTTACCACGCGAATGAAGTTAGCAGCGAGAACAAGAAGCGATGCATTGTGGGTCCAGAATTACTGCGGAAAAAAATTTTATTGAATGAATGTGCAGTAGTCCAAATTTTCTCTTTGCCCAGGTGTTGTCCTTAGAGCTCGTTCGCTATTAAGAAGTGCCTAATTCTTTCCTTGATGTTACAAACCCTTAAAAGTTTTTTATCAAATTTTTACAGATAATCCAGTTTCTCATAAATTGTCCTTGTCTGACACAGAGTCCCTATAATTGCAGCCTGTATCATTTACACACACACATGCAAGACTCGCTTTTGACATGCTTCCAGCTCCCTTTTAGGTCACTCAGGTGATCTATTGCTATCTGTTTTCATCCGTCGGCGTGCGTCGTGCGTTAACATTTGAACATTTTCAGCTTCTTCTCTGGAACCACTGAACCAATTTCAACCAAATTTGGCATATAGCATCTATATGTGAGGGGGAGTAAAAATTGTGAAATTCATGACCCCTATCCCCCTGAGGGGTGGGGCTAAAACCATCAAAATTAATGCAATCTTAAAAAATCTTCTTCTTTACTCGTGGACATCAAACAGGCAAACTGTTGGCATGAATGTAATAAGCATTGAGCCCTCTACCTAAATTGTGAAATTTATGGCCCCAGGGTCAGGAGTTCTGGTGCTAGGATGGGGCTCTGTTGAATATGTAGTGAAAATGCATTACTTTTAAAAAATATTCTCCTCTGCTCTTGGGTA